CCGGGCTGGGGATTCTAACCCGCCACCTTAGGTGTACGTGGCTGGCGCCTTAGCCGCTTGAGCCACAGGCGCTGAGCCATTCATAAGGATTCTTATGATGGTTTGGGACCTACAAGGATCTTGGGTCCAGGATACTCTACTCATCTCAGAATCTTAAATTTCATACTTACTTATTTTTTTTTTCATGTAATGTAACTGAATACAAGTTTTGAGTGTTGCAACATGAGCATCCAGATTCATATCCATCTTGTCCATTCATACGAACATCTTTAAAAGCCTCAGCCCTTACAGCGTGAACTCCAAGTCCAGAATCACAGCTGAACCAGGTGTGGGAGAGTTGTGGTATGATCCATCCTGAGGCAAAATTCCTCTCACCGTGGACCATAAAAACTGGAAAACAAGTTATCTCCTGGCTGGGTATGGTGAGCAAGAGTGAGACCCCCTTCTCTACAAAAATAAAAAAAAACTAGCTGGGCATTATAGTGGGTGCTTACTGTAGTCCTAGCTATTGGGGAGGGGGTGCAAGACAGGAGAACAGCTTGAGCCCAGAAGTTTGAGGTTTCTGTGAGCTATGATGCCACAGCACTCATTGAAACTGTTTTTTAAAAAAAAAAAAGTTATCTCCTCCCAAAACAGAATTGTAGGACAGGTATAGAGTAAAAGTTTCAATTCCATTCAGAGTGGAAGAAAGTAGAAAGAAAAAGGTACCACTCATTCCAAGCAATTTCATGGTCCAGCCAGGCACCATAAGTAGTCTTGGGCTGCCTGAGTCATTTTTCTTGAAAAATGGCATCTGTGGCTCAAGCAGCTAAGGCGCCCCAGCCATGTAACACCTGAGCTGGTGGGTTTGAATACCCACCCACCCACCCCACCCCTGTCCGCCAAACAATGATGGCTATAACAACAACAACAACAACAAAAATGGCGGAGCATTGTGGCAGAGACAGGAGAATCGCTTGAGCCCAGGAGTTGGAGGTTGCTGTGAGCTGTGATACCATAGCACTCTACCCAGGGCGACAGCTTTGAGGCTCTATCTCCAAAAAAAAAAAAAGGAAAAAGAAAATGGCATCTGTTTGCAGCAAGGAGTATTTTTTAGCTTTCCTACTGGATTTTGAGTATCTGCAGCCTTTTGTTATTTCATCCCATCTTTTTGGTTCAAGCTAGCAGTGTTTTTCAAATAGACAGGATCTACCTCTGGCCTGGGCTAGAGTGCAGTGGTATAATCATGGCTCACTGCAGCCTCCAACCCCTGAACTTGGGCTCCCGAGTATCTGGGACTACAGACACACACCACTGTGCCAGCTGATCTTTTAATTTTTTGTGGAGACTGTGGCTCAAGCTGGTCTCAAACTGGGTTCAAGCTCTTCTCTCTTCAGCCTCCCAAAGGAAGTATCTTTGCTAATATATAATTCTCCAGAAGGATCCATACCATTAGACAAGAGCGGCTTCTCCAAAGGCCTTTACTAGATTATCTCAGCTGCACTCCTGCTTTTTAAAATGCCCTCAGGCATCCATGAGTAGCACACCAGATCTTGGGTGACCATTCAGATACTCTGACCTTCTGATCTTTCCCAGCACCAGCAAAAGGCTTGTGTGGCCCCTCCCTTGGCTTTCTATCTAGAGCACGAATCCTGACGTTCTGCTGTCTTTAACAATCAGGAGAGGCTGAGAATTCCAGACCACCAGGTTTTGGTTCCCCTTTGCTTAACAGTTTTTTACTCAATCTCTTTTCCCAAGAAGAAACTGCAGTACCTTCCATGCTCAGAATTTGCTCTCCAGGTCCTGTGGGGCACAATTCAGCCAAACTCTGCCACTGTAATTGGTTACTCCAGGTGCCACATGTCAGCACCCTCACCAGTAGCATCCGTTTCTAACAACAGTTCGTTCATGGCAATGTAGGCTGTTTTCTAAGATGGTGTTTACTGCACTCCTCACCTTCTGAATCTTCATTAACCGAGTCTAGAATACCTGGATTTTTACTGACAGTCTATTCAAGGTGCTCCCCAAAGTTCTTCCAACTTCACCCTCTGTTTACTTCTAAGCCGTGTCTTCATTTTTGGATTTTGTTCCAGCAGTGCCCCACTTCCAGGGGCCAAGGTCTGTGTTTGTTTTCATTTGATTGTTGCTATAACAGATACTAGTGGCTTAAAACACAAATTTATCATCTCATAGGTCTGGGGTTCAGTAGTCAGAAATGTATCTTGTAAAGCAAAGTCGAGGCTTGGCGCCTATAGCTCAACCGGCTAAGGCGCCAGCCACGTACACCTAAGGTGGTGGGTTCGAATCCCCAGCCCGGACCCGCCAAACAACAATGATGATGGCTGCAACCAAAAAATAGCTGGGCATTGTGGCGGGCGCCTGTGGTCCCAGCTACTTGGGAGGCGGAGGCAGGAGACTCGCTTGAGCCCAGGAGTTGGAGGTTGCTGTGAGCTGTAATGCCATGGCACTCTACCCAGGGGGACAGCTTGAGGCTCTGTCTAAAAAAAAAAAAAAAAAAAGCAAAGTCGAAGTGTCAGCAGATGACTGTGTTCCTTTGGGGGCTCCAGGGAGAGAATCTGCTCCTGTCTTTCCGGGCAGCTGTTGTCCTCACTTGGCATGTGCTCCATCCTGTCTCCTCCCTCTGCCCTCCTGCATTTCTCCCTCCCTCCCTCTCTTCCCTCCCCCTTGTAATTTATATTGGGTACACCCAGATCATCCAGGATCATCTTTCAGTCTTCATGTCTATAACTCAACAACATCTGCTGAATCCCTTTAGCCATATTTATGGGTTCTGGGGGTTAATATGTGGACCTCTTTGAGGACCATAATTATTGTTGTTTTTTAACATGGAGACCGTAATTCTATCTGCCACAGCTGATTAGGGGTGTACCACTTCCCCACCAGCTCCGAATCTTAGCCTGTCCTCCATGTACCCACATCCAGACTCAGGCCAGCTGGACATAGGATGGAGTTGGCACAGATTTCTGCACCTAAGCCAGGTGTGTTGAGCACCAGTGCCCAGAAGGCAGGGGTGGAGGCTCAGCAGAACTCTTCTTGCCCTGGCTCTGTTGGGTCAGCTGCCAGGCGAAGGTCTCTGGGACAGGCAGGTGGGCATGCTGTCAGGGCTGTGGACTGGTTTGCTAGGGGACTACAAAAACATCACAGCTGAGTAGCTTAAATAATAGACGTTTATTTTCTCACAGTTCTAAGGCTGGGGTCTGAGGTTAGGTGCACTGGGGCTGGTTCCTCCTGAGGCCTGGCCTTGCCTGTAGATGGCGTTAGGGCTCCAGTATATGAATACAGAGGGACATTCATCTGGTATCAAGGTCCCAGGAAGGACCTTGGCCCAGCTCCATCTTAGATGTTGGTGAGGTGGCACCCTGTAGACACTAAACTCTGAGAACCAAGTGGCTTCAGGCTGTTCTTGGTGCAGACACAGTGTTATAGGGTCTGCATTTGAATCATAGCTGGTGGCTCTTCTGTGGTAGCCATAAGGTGATCAGCTCTTGCAGGCTGACTGAGTGGGTGGCCTAGACCTGCCCTGTTGGAGCTCTACTTAGAGATCCTGAATCTTCAGTCTTAACCTAGTCAAGAGTAGGTGGGGGTGGCCTGCTGACAGGGCCCCACTTGTACCAGAGCTGTGAGCTTTAGCCTGGTGTCAGGCAGAGCCAAGCAGTAGTAAAATGTACTCCTCCACATAGGGCCCCTGCCCTTACCAGGTCCTTAGGCTTCTGTCCCTTCCCTGTCATCCCTGGCATCTGGCTCGCCTGGCCCTCTAGAAACAGGAGTAAGACCCTTTCCGGCCTGCCCTTCCCAGGTCCTGTGCTCAGTTTGGTTCATGGGTGGTTAGGGCCTAGGTGCCCTGGCCCTCTTCCAGCCTCTGTTGGTGTCCTCCCCCATCCCCATGGCTCATGTGCACCTGCCCGCCCCCGGCCCTTCCCTGCCTGCCTCTTCCTGGCTTTGTTGTGCCTCCTAGGGTACAACTCTTGACGCCAGCCCTGCCCAGAGCCTTTCCTTTGGGGCTCAGCTCCCATACCAAGGCTGGTAGAGCCAGACACATAAGCATTCCCCACTCATTGTCCCAAGGACTATGACAGAAGGACCCCCCCCCCCAGGTCTGGGCTGACATGCTGCATGGTGCGTAAAGGCCTGGGTGTCTGCTGCCTTGAAGGAGCAGGTTTATGTGCCCAGCAGGAAGCCCTGGGAAACGTACCCAAGTGGGGTCCAGCTGGGGTCTCCATGAGGCACAAGGCACCCCATCATTAGGTATTCCATTGGGCTGTGTACTCTGTTGAGTGCCTAGCATGTGTGTAGATCTCACTGAGGATCACTCAGTGACCTGGGACAGGAGACTAGAAGTCTGTCTAGGTCCCTGAGGCATAAATCAGGCTAAGCTGTGGCAAACTGTTACCCAGAGCTTCAGAGCCTGGCCTGGCAGGTTTGTGTCTGGGGCAGTGTGGTGCCCTTAGGGCTGGCTGCCCGCTATGCTCCTGTCCTTCCCCCTGTGCCAGGTGGCCCTCAACTGCTCTCCCCTCCTGCTCAGAGCATAGGGTGGTAGTCATGGTCCCCCTGAAGCCTGCGCCATGGCTACTCTGGGACTGTAAGTCTTGCTGCCACCTCAGGGTTTTGCTAGGCAGTGGCAGCCATGGCTCTGAGTTCCATGCTGCCTTCATGTCTGGGTTGCCCTGAGCCCTGTGCTTGCAGCTTGGCTGCAGATTTCATGATCTGTGGCAACAGGTCTTTGCTACCAATAAAGGTGCGCTAGGTGTCAGCAGGGAGGGGGTTCCTGGGTTTTCTTTCTGTAAGTTCCAGCATAGTCCTGAGCATGACAGATAGATCCTGGGGGGCTGACTGGAACCTCTGAGGGCCCTCCTTCCTGGCCTTGAGGCTCTGCTTGTAAACAGCTATGAATGAGGGGACCCTAGGAGAGACTGGGACACTGAGCCCCCTGCTCCCACCTGATCTTGTAGAGCTCAGGCCCTGGGGCTTCCAGTGGCCCTGGTGGAGACCACAGTGAGCTGATCACCCGGATCGCCAGTCTGGAAGTGGAGAACCAGAGCCTGCGAGGCGGTGAGGCCCTGGGGCCTAGGGGATGGGGGTGGCAGCCCAGGCTAGCCCAGCCCCTGCGTTTGACCTGTCCCCTTGTCCCTGCAGTGGTACAGGACCTGCAGCAGGCTTTCTCCAAGCTGGAGGCCCGGCTGAGTGTGCTGGAGAAGAGCTCACCCAGCCATCGGGCCACAGCCCCACAAACCCAGGTGAGTGTCCTCTAAGACCTGGCACTATAGGTTGGCTCTGGCAACAATGAGGACCTTGTGGCTAGGGTCCTTAAGGTGCCTAACAGGATTTATAGGCATGTGCAGACTAATCCCCATAGTAGGACAGGGGCCTGGGGTCCATAAGAGCTGGAGAAAGACAGCCCAACCAACTGGGGCTCTGCATGCCCTCCATTCCCCAGCATGTGTCTCCCATGCGCCAAGTGGAGCCTCCAGCCAAAAAGGTGGCCACACCAGCCGAGGATGATGAGGACGACGACATTGACCTGTTTGGCAGTGACAATGAGGAAGAAGACAAAGAGGCAGCCCGACTGCGGGAGGAGCGGCTGCGGCAGTATGCAGAAAAGAAGGCCAAGAAGCCAGCGCTGGTAGCCAAGTCTTCCATCCTGCTGGATGTCAAGCCTGTGAGTGAGGCAGGGCTAGCGTTTCCAAGGGCCCAGCCCAGTCCCTCAGTTGCTGGGCAGGGGATGCCATGTGCTCTGACCCTCTACCATCCTGGGTTCTGGTCGGACTTTAAAGCCAGATTTAGAAATTGTGGGATAAGAATAGAGACTTGGAGATAGAGCAGTATAAATTTAGATTGTTTTCTGGAGGCCCTTTAAGGAAACAGAATTGTATCCTCACAGTGTTTCTACATTGGAGTAGGCACAGTTCTCCCATGGTGTTTTAGAGGCTTCTAAGGCTGGCTGGCTCCAACCTTTCCACCTCTTGCCCACAGTGGGATGATGAGACAGATATGGCCCAGCTAGAGGCCTGTGTGCGCTCCATCCAGCTGGACGGACTGGTCTGGGGGGCATCCAAGCTGGTGCCTGTGGGCTATGGCATCCAGAAGCTGCAGATCCAGTGTGTGGTGGAGGACGACAAGGTTGGGACCGACCTGCTAGAAGAAGAGATCACCAAGTTTGAGGAGCATGTAAGTGGCCATCAAGACCGGGAGGGTGAATGGGAGCTGGGGTAACCCTGGGACACACACCTGCCTCTGTGGGGTACAGGCCCCACCATAGTCACTTCCCCCACCTTTCCTCAGGTGCAGAGTGTGGACATCGCAGCTTTCAACAAAATCTGAAGCCTAAAGAGCATGTGCGTGCGTGTGGCCCTGCCATGAATAAAGACTGTGCCTCCTGCTCTCTGGCTCCTGTCCTGGTCATTCTCCACCCTCCCACTCCTATCTGTGGCCCTGTGATCTCACCCCTGGCTCACCTCTGCCTGCTCTCATCTCCCTGTGGGCCAGCTGTGCCCACAGCTCCTGCACGAGGGCTTTCTGTTGCAAGCGCCAAGTCCAATTAAAACTCTTCAGAAACAGTCTTAGCTGTTTCTCCACTCACCATCCAAGGCATGGGAGCATAGTGCACGCCTGGAACTGTCCAGGGAAGAAAGAAGGCCCAGCAGTGGTCCTGGCCCTTCTGCTATGACCAAGATCCTGTGCCCCACTCCTGACCCATTTGAAACCCTGCATACATCCCACCATATCTAGGATATAGGATAAAGTCCAGACTTCTTTCTGTAGCTCTTGGGAGGCACTGCCCCTTATGTGGTCTGATCCCCCTGCCTGCTGGACACCTGTACCCATCCTTTTTCCCATTATGTCCCCTTATGATAAGGTTGTAGCCCCCTGTCTTGTTTCCTCCCTACCCCAGCAATGCTGTGTGGTCATTACTTGTGTTGGTGGTAGGCCCTCCCCAGACTGGCCCAGCATGGCTACAGCCCATGTCTACCTTGAGGTGTGCATGTGGCTGTGGTTACTTCCCATCAGCTGGTGTCCTCCAGGCCCCTAGCCAAAGGGGATTAGACAGCTACCTGTGTGACAGGCCATGACTCAGCCCACAAAACTTGTAGAGAAATTTATAGTCCCCCTCCTCCCCCGGGGCACACTGACAGGGCCTTCATAACCATACAAGGCCTTTTTGGTGCCAGCTGGGGGTAAGTGGCCCCCTGGCCCTTTCCTGGGTAGTTGGCCCCATCTCTGTGTTGCAAGCCTGGTGCTGCAACCTCTGTCTTCATCCCCGGGGCCTGGGAAAACGCTGGCTGCTCTTGGATGGGGTAGGGATGAAGCCCGGCTGGATCTGTCCTCTACTTTCCCAACACTGTGGCAGGTCCTGAGCAGCACTTACGACCCTGAGAAAGTGGCCCAGGCTGCTGCGGGGAGCTTCCTTGGTGACCATAACCTGGCCATGCTCAAAGGACCTCAGCCCTCAATTACTTGCTGTCCTCTACATCTCGTCATGTGTCATTTGTTTGCCCAGCCTGACTCTAAACTTGATCCCCCAGGGTCTCCAGAGCTGGGGTAGAGTCAGAAATCAGGGTTCAGGCTTGGCGCCTGTGGCTCAAGTGGCTAAAGCACCAGCTACATACACCTACGGTGGCGGGTTCAAATCCAGCCCAGGCCCGCCAAACTTGAGCCGCTTGAGCCCAGGAGTTAGAGGTTGTTGTGTGGGGTAATGTCTGCCACACCATCCGGGGTCCAGCTGCTGTGATCTCTGAGCATCTTGTCCGCATTGCCCTTTGCAGTTGCTCTTAAAGGCGGACGTCCCCAGTGTCTCCGCCCCTCCTGTACTGAACGGGTTTACGACAAGCGGAGGCGCGCCATTGGCTGGGGCGCGTCACGAGGGCGGGCTGAGCCCAGCCAGAGTCCTGGGGAGCGGGGCTGAGCAGGGCGGAGTGAGACTGATGGCAGCCAAGTGGGACCCCGAGGGGAGCGCGGCGTCACAGCCGCTGCTCACCGACCTCTACCAGGCCACCATGGCGCTGGGCTACTGGCGCGCAGGCCGTGCGCAGGTCCACGCTGAGTTCGAGCTCTTCTTCCGCCGCTGCCCGTTTGGAGGCGCCTTCGCCTTGGCAGCGGGTTTGCGTGACTGCGTGCGCTTCCTGCACGACTTCCGCCTGCGGGACGCAGGTAGCCCCCACGCTGCCCCCACGACCCCGCCGGACTCTCCTAGCCCGACGGGGCGCCCCTGGTCCTGGGCACGCACTCTCCACAGCGCGATGCCTCTCTTTCCCAGACGTGCAGTTCCTGGCCTCTGTGCTGCCCGCAGACACAGACCCCGCGTTCTTCGAGCACCTTCGGGCCCTCGACTGCTCTGGGGTGACAGTGCGGGCCCTGCCTGAGGGTTCCCTCGCCTTCCCTGGCGTGAGTGCAGAGTGAGCAGGACGGAAGGGAAGGGCGGCCAGGGACAGGTCGCTACCAGAGCTGACAGACGTAGCCCCATCCCCCGCAGGTACCACTGCTGCAGGTGTCTGGGCCGCTTCTGGTAGTGCAGCTGCTGGAAACTCCGCTGCTGTGCCTTGTCAGCTATGCCAGGTGGTATGGGGCTCCCTGTAGGAAGCAGGACTAAGGGACGGGCCCTGATCCTCTGACCCCCATGGCGGAGCTCCTGGGTGGAGACTCAGGGGTCCCCAGGATAGGGAGAGGCCTCCTACTGGCTCTTCTGGTGGGGGCTCGCCAGGACATAGTGGGTGAGGGTGAAGCTCCAGGGCTGGAACTCCAGGCCCCAGGTAACTTTGTCAGGAATCTCAACCCTGTCTCCTGTCCCCTTGTTCCCCACAGCCTGGTGGCCACCAACGCAGCCAGGCTCCGACTGATTGCTGGACCAGAGAAGCGGCTGCTGGAGATGGGCCTGCGACGTGCTCAGGGCCCAAATGGGGGTCTCACAGCCTCCACCTACAGCTACCTTGGTGGTGAGGGCCTGAGGGGATGAGGCAAGGACTGGGAAGGAGGAGGCCTCACACCCAGGAGTCCCCCAGTCTGGACTGACTTCCTCCCCCAGGCTTCGACAGCAGCAGTAACGTGCTTGCCGGGCAGCTCCGGGGCATTCCAGTGGCCGGGACCCTGGCCCACTCCTTCATCACCTCCTTTTCAGGCAGTGAGGTGCCCCCTGACCCGGTCAGCACATCCTCTCAACCCCAGGGAGGGGTGGGCCAGGCCCATCTGTGCACACTGGGCAAGTAGCCAGAGTGCTACCTGGGAGCCAGTGTGTATTACCTTTGCCCTCAGCCCGGGTCATATTTGGCCACTCCCAGGCCTTTCCTTTCACCTTGGGACCCAGATCTTCAACCACCTGGCTCCACAGATTTTGGCTCCGGTTTCCAGTGAGGGCCCTGGGGTGGACCTGGCTGCCAACGTACAGAAGTGGCTGGAGCGGGTGTGTGCCCACCTGGGGTTGGGGGTGCAGGAACCGCACCCAGGGGAGAGGGCAGCCTTTGTGGCCTATGCACTGGCATTTCCCCAGGCCTTCCAGGGCTTGTTGGATTCCTACAGCGTATGGAGGTGAGCCCCCGGTGTTCTGGGTGGGCTCCACAGAGAAGCAGCAGCTCCTGACTCCTTCCACACCTGCAGGAGCGGTGTACCCAATTTCCTGGCGGTAGCCCTCGCACTAGGGGAGCTGGGCTATCGGGCCGTGGGTGTAAGGCTGGACAGTGGTGACTTGCTTCAGCTGGCCCAGGAGGTCCGTGGGGTCTTCCGGACCACTGCAGCCCAGTGAGTGCCTTAGGGAGGCATGTGCCTGCCCAGAGACCCCTTGGGGAGCTAGGACATAGAGGGGGCAGGGAGGGAGGGACTCTGGTCTAGTTTTAGGGGTGGTGCTACAGCCTCTGGCAGGGTGCAGGGGGCCAAATGTAGGTGTGCCCAAGAGGATGGGGGAGCCTACAGTGAATCAGGAAAATTTGAGGGGGCTTCTCCCACCCCTCCCCTTGTTCCACCCACATCCCAGCTTCCAGGTGCCCTGGCTGGAGTCAGTTCCCATCGCCGTCAGCAACAACATTGATGAAGAGGAGTTGGCTCGGCTAGTCCAGGAGGTGAGGGGAGGAGGGGCAGGCAGAGGGTGCTGGGGAGGGCCCGGAGTCTTGTGGAGGTCCTGGGTGGGCTCACTGCCACCTCCTCTCCCCCCAGGGCAGCGAGGTGAACGTCATCGGCATTGGCACCAGCGTAGTCACCTGCCCTCAACAGCCTTCTCTGGGCTGTGTCTATAAGGTGGGGGCGGGTCTAAGGGCTCATGGATGGGGGATGCAATGAAGATGGTCGAGGATAAGGGGCCATCTCAACATGCTTGCCCTGCAGCTGGTGTCTGTGGGGGGCCAGCCTCGAATGAAGCTGACCGAGGACCCTGAGAAGCAGACCTTGCCAGGGAGCAAGGCTGCCTTCCGGCTCCTTGGCTCCGATGGTGAGTACCCTCCCATCTCTCTCTTGTTTCTTTCTTTCTTTTTTTTTTTTTTTTAAGAGACAAGAGTCTCACTTTATTGCCCTCGGTAGAGTGCTATGGCATCACAGCTCACAGCAATCTCCAAGTCCTGGGCTTTGGTGATTCTCTTGTCTCAGCCTCCTGAGTAGCTGGGACTACAGGCACCTGCCACAATGCCCAGCTATTTATTTTTTGTTTGGCCAGGGCTGGGTTCAAACCTGCCTCCCTTGGTATACGGGGTTGGCGCCCTACCCACTGAGCCACAGGCGCCACCCCTCTCTTGTTCCCTTTTAAGGATGCATGTACCCCACATTAATCTTACCCCTTCCAAGGGTCTCTGCTGTTAGACCTGCTGCAGTTGGCAGAAGAGCCACCTCCAAAGGCCGGGAAGGAGCTAAGGGTTTGGCCTCGGGGGGCTCAGGAGCCCCGTACTGTAAGGCCAGCCCAGGTGGAGCCACTGCTGCGACTCTGGGTCCATCAGGGACAGGTAACTGCCCTACCCCAACCCCTCATTCTGCACCTTCGACCACAGTTGAGCCCTGCCCCAAGCCAGCCTTGCCTCCTCTTGCAGCCATGTGAGCCACTGCCATCACTGGCAGAGTCCAGGGCCTTTGCCCAGCTGTCCCTGAGCCGCCTCAGCACTGAGCACAGGAGGCTGCAGAGCCCTACACAGTACCAGGTGGGAAGAACCCCACTGCCTGCCCTGGACCCTCTTCCCCCACAGCTACCCATCGCATCTCTCTTCCTGCAGGTGGCACTGTCAGAGAAGCTGCACGACCTTGTGGACAGTCTGCGGGGAGGGCCCCTGTGAGAATCCTGGTGGTAGGAGCTGCCTAGAGACAACATGAATTACTTGCTGTCCTCTACATCTCGTCATGTGTCATTTGTTTGCCCAGCCTGACTCTAAACTTGATCCCCCGGGGTCTCCAGAGCTGGGGTAGAGTCAGAAATCAGGGTTCAGGCTTGGCGCCTGTGGCTCAAGTGGCTAAAGCACCAGCTACATACACCTACGGTGGCGGGTTCAAATCCAGCCCAGGCCCGCCAAACAACAATGATGGCTGCAACCAAAAAATAGCCGGGCATTGTGGCAGGCGCCTGTGGTCCCAGCTACTTGGGAGGCTGAGGCAGAAGACTCGCTTGAGCCCAGGAGTTAGAGGTTGTTGTGAGCTGTGATGCCACGGCACTCTACCCAGGGCTACAGCTTGAGGCTCTGTCTCAAAAAAAAAAAAAAAGAAATCAGGGTTCATGCTCCCAAGGGAAGAATAGGTCCAGCCAGAGTGGGGAGACATCCCTGGGTGGAAGCCTGAAGGGCAGTGAGGGATGTCCCTGGCCCAGAGAGCTGGGCTTTGGGGAGCCCAACCTGACACTGGAGCAGCCGGGGCCTCAGGTAGGGGGAGGGCCGGTGTCCACTTTCACAAGTCTGCTGAAGACTTGTCCTTATCAGAGGGAGGTTGGGAGTGGTGGGGCCAATACCAGATAGAGGGTACCCATGCCTGCACTGCCTCCTGGCTTGGGGCCTTTAAGGACATCTCAAACTTCCGAAGCCAAAAGAGAGAACCTGGTGTCCCCTGCTGTCACTGCTCCCAGCCTCACAACCCTGGCATCTGTCATTGGCCACCTGGGCATTGGCTTTGGAGCCTTGGTGCCTGAGCCAGCAGCCGGAGAAGGGGAGGAAGGGTGGAGAGGAAACTGAGACTCCAGGAGCCCAGTGAGCTGCAAACGAGGCCTGCATGGCTGCTTATGGGGCTGGCCTTGCCTCTGTGCCAGCAAGTTAGTCTCAGGGCTCCATCAGCCCTGTTAATGGGGCTATAGAGAACTGCTCAGGAGAGGCTCCAGGCTTGGCAGGAAGTGGAAATCGGGAGCCTGGGCTTCTGTCCAGGCAGCCTGAGGTGGCACAGATAGGCAAGAGCATGGGGAGAATGCTGTCTGTCTGGGGTGCTTCCAGGAGCACCTCTGCCCGCTTAGGTATTCCACCAGACCAGCTCATCTGGCTCCACAGGGCACTGGGCCAGGCAGCACCCCCTGTGGTTGGGTGAGGGCACAAGTGGGGATTTGGGGCAGAGGCCTGGTCAGGCCAGCGTAGGGAGTATGAACTAAGAGACAGACATAGACTACTACACATGCCCCAGGTACCCACAGGGCACCAGTCTTAGCTGTGCACTCCCAGGTGGGGGTGGGGGACACTACCTCAGAACTGGCCAGGACCCAGAGGGTCCCACCCCAACAAAGGTGGGCACCCACAAGAGGCAGCAGCTCCTCTGGCCTTGTTTGGTCCTCCCCTCCTTGGGCTGCCCTGAGCTCAGAGATGGTAACAGTTCACCTACTCATGTCCATTCCAGGATGTCTAATGGGGCTGGAGTACAGGAGCAGGCCCAGTGGGGCCCCTGCTGCTTCCTGAGTGTTGGAGTCAGGCATTAGCTCTGGGCGGGACCCTATGGGCCCTCCTCAGGGATATGCACAACTGCCCTGAGCCCTGGCTAAGAGGGGCTGGTAGTCAGGGTTAAGGGCCCCTATTCCCCTTTGTGGATTTGCCACCTCCTAGAGATCCTGCCCAGGACCCTGGTGGGTAAAGCCAGACTGTAGACACTCAGGCTTCAGGCTGACCACTGGCCTCCAGCAGCCTGGGCAGGAAGGCCATTCTCAAGCCTTCCCCTCAAGCAGGCCCCTCCAGGTAGCTGCCCAGTCCCCTCCTCACAGAGCACACACACACACACACCCCACCACACCTGTCTGAGAGCCCGCCCCTGGTCCCGCCTGGGGCCTGCTTCTAGGTCAGGCTTGGGCACAACTTCCCAGGAGGAACAGGACAGGTACTACAGGCTGGGGCAGCCATGGCTGGGGGTATGTGGGACCGCACCCAGCGGGCCCCAGTGGGGGCTCTAACCCTGACAGCTCTGGCTGAAGGGATCAGGGCCAGCCAGAGGCAGCCCCAGGGACCCCCTTTCACGGGCCCTCCACCTGAGCCCTGGGAGCTTCAACATGAGGCTGAGCCTAGAAGTGGGGCCACTGCCCCCACAGTTGGCAGTGTGCCATGCTCTCCAAACAGTGCGCCGGAGCAGGGATCCCACCAGGTGAGAGGCAAGGGAAGGGATGCTGTAGGGGTGGGCCTGGGGGCTCCTGGCTCCTCTCTTGAGTTCAGGAGGATGCCAGATGGACAGAGGGGTGTCAGATGTGGGGGAAGGTCAGGGTAAGTGGGCTAGGGAGGAAGGAAGGGCACAGGCCTTTGTAGGAAGCTGGGAGGGGTGGGGAGGCTGGGGAAGGCTCTGGGACTTCAAACATCCCACCCTCTGCCCTAGGCCTCCCAGACTTCCTGGGAGGAGGGGGCTCTCGCAGACCTTGCGTTGTACACAGCTGCCTGCCTGGAGGAGGCTGGCTTTGCAGGGACCCAGGTAACAGTGCTCACCTTGTCCTCAGCCCTGGAGGTCCATGGGGCACGGCTGGAGGACCAGGTCAGCCCCTACCCCTTCCTACCTGAGAGACCCCCTGCGGGGGCCCCTCTAGGCTACTCCTGACTGGTGGGAGCGGGGCGCTGGTCAGGTGGCCTCGGGCCTAACATGGGTCCCTACACACCAGGTGCATTCTCTGGTGTCTGGGCTGTTGGCACAAGTGCCCAGCCTGGCTGAGGGGAGGCCCCGGCGGGTAGCCCTGCGGGTGCTGACTGCACTGGCCCTGGAGCACTCAAGGGACGTGGTGTGTGCGCTGCTACCTCGTTCGCTGCCCCTTGACTGGTAACCCAGCTGCCCTGCCCTGTGGCAGCCCATGTGGCTTCTTTCTCGCTTGGGCATAGAGTCTGCCCCCAAGCTGTTAAAGGAGCAGAAACTTTATTCTATCCTTCACCCTCCACCTTTAGTTCTACAGTCTCCCCCTAGGGCTCCCACCTAGAGGTCTCAGGCGTTGGGTTCCTGTCTTGGGGCTGGCCTTCCATCTCCAGTGGACCCTGGAGACCACCTGGGGTTGTATTTCAGAGTGGGTAAGGGAGCTGGGTGGCTGCTGGCCCTGCTGCCCCTGGCCTTGGTCCTATTCTCTGAGGTGATTTTTAATGCCAAGTTTGCTTCACTGTCACTGACCTGTGAGAACTCTGAGAGGTCCCCACACAACAGGTGATGTCATCAGTGGCAGCGTTGTGGTCTGTGCAGCCACCTATTTTGTGGGATTTGGGGGGTGAGGGGAGGGGGCTGGTTCACCTGCCTCTCCCTTGATAGAGTCCCAGTGGCTGCCTCCACTACAGCCCAGAGACTCCCTGCATCCTATTACTATCCAGTGCTGCACCCAATCCTTGTCTCATGCCAGCCTCCAAACCATAGGCCAGCAGCTGAGCTCTGGCGCAGCCTAAGCCGTAACCAACGCGTAAATGGGCAGGTGCTGGTGCAACTACTGTGGGTGCTGAGGGCTACAGCGGGGCCCAAGCTGGAGGCACTGGCGGTAGGTGGCTCCAGCCAGCACTGCCAGGGGGCACTGCTAGGCCAAAGTGAATGAGAGAGTCAGAACCTGGGGGTAGGGGTGTGGTGGGCAGCAGGCTCCCCCCACACACACCAAGCCATGCATGTCCAGAATGCCCCATGTGTGTCTGGGGCTCTGTCCTGTCCTGGGTGAGGCATGCCTACCCCTCAAGGTGCACAAGTGGCTCAGGGCATGCCTAGGCCTGAATGGGCCCTTGCCCTGCAGGCCACACGTGCTCTTGGGGAGATGTTGGCCATTTCAGGATGTGTGGGAGCCACACGGGGCTTCTACCCGCACTTGCTGCTGGCACTGGTCACACAGCTGCATGAGCTGGCTCACAGCCACGCACATGCCCCTGATACTCCCAAGATTTGGGTCCTGTCCCACGGAGGGCCACCACACAGCCATGCCAGGTGCGAGGCAACACTGGGGTAAGTGGGGACGGACAGTGCCCTGTTCGCCCCCACTGCCTGCTCACCTGCTGCTCCCACCTACAGCTGTGCATTGGAGGCCTTGAAGGCCCTGCTCACTGGAGATGGGGGCCGCATGGTGGTCACATGCATGGAGCAGACAGGAGGCTGGAGGAGGTTGCTGGGAGCTCACACCCACCTGGAGGGTGTCCTGCTGCTAGCCAGGTGCTGGGCAGGGGTCAAGGGCATGAGGGTGGTGGTCGTATGGGGAATTCCTTGGGGATGAGTCCTCAAGTGGAGGTGGAGCTCCCATTTCCACCCTCCCCAGTGCCATGGTGGCGCATGCGGACCACCACCTGCGAGGTCTCTTCGCAGACTTGCTTCCCCGGCTGCGCAGCGCCAATGACCTGCAGCGCCTCACAGCTATGGCCTTCTTCACCGGAGTGAGTCTGCTCCCCAGATGAGCGGTGAGGGGTGGACTTGGGCCCCATGCGGCGCGGGCCTGCACAGGGACCCAGAGGGCTGACCGGGTGTTCCTCGCCTAGCTGTTGCAGAGCCCGCCCACCGCACGGCTCCTGCGGGAGGAGGTCATCCTGGAGCGGCTCCTCACCTGGCAGAGCGACCCCAAGCCCACCGTGCGCTGGCTGGGCCTGCTTGGCCTAGGCCATCTCGCACTAAGTCGCGGGAAGGTGAGAAGCTGGACTGGGAGGGGCCCCGGAAACGTTTGCTAGGGGGTGACTACGACTCCCTGCCCCAGCAGGTGCGGCACATAAGTACGCTGCTGCCAGCGCTCATGGGGGCGCTGGGCGAGGGCGACGCAAGGCTCGTGGGAGCAGCGCTGGGCGCGTTGCGGAGGCTCCTCCTGCGGCCACGGGCTCCAGTGCGGCTCCTGAGCACAGAGCTGGGCCCATACCTTCCCCGGCTGCTGGACGACGTGAGCCGAGGCCTTGGGCCTGCTAGCCCCCGCCCCGCCCCCGCCCACATGCTGTCCCCCAGGCCCCTCCGGTCCAGGGGCTCCTCAACCAGGCACCGCTCCAGGCTCCGCCTCAAGTCTCAGCCTTCCTGGGCTTTCTTCTTCCTCGCTCACACTGGCCACCTCTCCCAACTTCTCAGTCTTCTCCCTCCCGCCCGCCCTGATCGCGCCTTCTCCCGCAGGCCCGAGACTCAGTCCGCGCCTCAGCTGTGGGGCTCCTGGGGACGCTGGTGCGCCGGGGCCGGGGCGGGCTGCGGCTAGGGCTCCGTGGTCCCCTAAGGAAGCTGGTGCTACAGTGTCTCATGCCGCTGCTGTTGCGCCTGCACGACCCAAGCCAGGACACTGCTGAGGTCAGCCGCCTCCCATCTCTGTCCCCTCCCCACTCCCACCTCACCTTCCCAAGGAAGATTATGAGTCAAGACCTCTGTCTGGGTTAGGCTTGGAGCCTGTAGCTCAGTGATTAGGGCGCAGCCACATACACCGAGGCAGCAGAGTTCAAACCTGGCCACGGTCTGCTAAACGACAAAGACAATGGTAACAAAAAATAGCCAGGCGTTGTGGGGGGAGCCTGTAGTGCCAGCTACTAGGGAGGCTGAGGCAAGACAATCGCTAAGCCCAAGAGTTTGAAGTTGCTATGAGTTGTGGGGCCACAGCACTCTACCAGCGGTGAAGTAGTGAGACTCTGTCTCAAAAAAAAAACCCACCTCTGGGTCCCCCAGGACCTCAGGTGTAGGGGTCATAGGCTGTCAGTTTCCTGGTCTGCCCTGGACTCTCTCATCCCTCATTCTGACCACTCCCGCCACCCCCTACCTCTTACCACTTCCTGGACCCCCAATCCTGTTCCCTTTCCCTATCCCAGAGCTCAGAGTGGACCCTGGCCCGCTGTGACCAGGCCCTTTGCTGGGGCCTGCTAGAGGATATGGTCACTGTGGCCCACTACGACAGCCCTGAGGCCCTGAGCCACATCTGCCACCGCCTGGTCAGTGGGAAAGCATGGTGAGGGTGAGGGGTGTGCAGCTGCAGCTTGTTCCTGTATTCACCAGGGCACCCCAATTGAGTCTCCACTGCAGTTAGACCTGGTCACCAGGCTCCCAGCCATACTGCCCTGCCTCGGGCATTCCCTGTGGTACCGCAGGCCCTAGGTTCACTTCTGCAACCTCCTGTCCTGCCATGAGCCCCTGTGTCCCTAGATTAGGCAATACCCCAGCCATGTGCCCAACTTCCTGAGCCAGACCCAGGGATACCTGCGGAGCCCAGAGGACCCCTTGCGCCATGCAGCCACCGTGCTTATAGGTGAGATAGTCCTGTGGTCATACTGTCCCTTGCACCAGGGCTCAGGGAGTTGGGCCAGCCCCTCCCTGCTGGGGTGTGGGACAGCACTCACAGGTTCACTGTGGTCCAGGCCTCCTTGTTCATCATGCAAGCCCTGACTGCATCTGCCAGAACCTGCTGGACTCCCTATTTCAGGGTGAGGACTCAACTTCAGGGTGGGGTGGGGGGAGCCTGGAGGTGGCAGGTGCCCCTCCCATGCCTGAGCCTCCTTCTCTTCGCAGACCTGGGGCAGCTGCAGAGCGACCCCCAGCCGGCAGTGGTTGCAGCAGCACAAGTGTCTGCTCAGCAGGTGGCACTGCTGACCCATGCCCAGAGCCAGCCCCGTGGCCCCCTCCTCCTCCGCCTGGCCCCAATCCGCAACCTGCCCACCCGTCCCCCTCCAGTCTACGCTGACAGCCCCTTCCGGCGCCGTAGCCTTGCTGGCCGCTGGGGCTGCTCCGGACTGCGCCCAGCCTGAGGATCAGGGGTCTGACTAGGACACTCCGCCCACACTGGGTTCAGTCCCTGCCCTGCTTGAGGGGCACCCTGGGCCTGGCGCTGGACTCTGGTGCCTAACCTTCAGGACTCCTCTCCAGGCACCCACCACCTTGACAGCCATGTGCCAGAGAAAAACAGCTAGCACCTTCTGTCTCACCCCTCCCCCTGCACGCATGGGTGCATCTGCCCCCACCTGGCTTCTTGTTCTAACAGTCCTCTGGAGTGTGCCCTGCACCCCAACCTTGGGCCTAGTGGGGGCATTGAAACTGGTGCCCCCACAGGCCTCCTGCCCCTTCCCAGGCTTCCACTTGGTGCCTTCCCAGTCATCCCTGTAACCATCACCCTTACTTCTTGCCCCGTGCCCATTCTTGCTGGCATCTGGAAGTCCCTGGCCTATGTTCTCTCTGCTCAAGAAGTGTAGACCTAGGCTGGGTGTGGTGGCTCACACCTGTAATCCCAGCACTCTAGGAGGCCGAGTTAGGGGATCAGGGGTCTGACTCAGACCCTGCAAGGATCCCTTGAGCTCAGGAGTTCAAGACCAGCCTACACAAGAGTGAGACCTCATCTCTACCAAAAGAGATTAGATTAGAGAAATTAGCCAGGCATGGTAGCTGGCTCCGGTAGGCCCAGTTACTTAGGAGACTGAGGCAGGAGAATCACTTCAGCTCAGGGGTTTGAGGTTGCTGTGAGCTAGATTGACACCACTGCATTCTAGCCTGGGTGACAGAGTGAGATTCTGTGTCAAAAAAAAAAAAAAAAGTAGATCTGTACTGTCAACACCTGCTGTCACCTCTCAGCCTGGCCAACATCCCCCCAAACCCTGCTTCATCATGTCAAGCCCAACCAGAACATGGCCTTCTCCAGAAGATACCCCTGACTTCCCCCTGCCTCAACTGGACCTGTGGGCCTGGGTATGGGTGCTGCATGCCTTTCCCTACCAGACTGTGCACCTGCGGCAGCACCTGGCACCCTGCACAGAGTTGAATGAGGAATGTGTACCTGGATACATAAGGGAAAGGCCTTTCCAGGCCTGACTTGGTGGACTCTCCCACCCTCAATGCCTGCCTGGAAATGTTATTGCTCTGCAAGGCCTCTTTCCCAGTCTCCTTAGAGAAGCCACCTCACACACACACCAGAGTGTGCACAGCCTCATAAAAGCTTGGGGCCTTCCTAAGACTAGGCCTAGCAGGGGCAGGAATGGGGTCTTTCCCTCACTGTCTCCCTAGCTCCCATATGAAGGCCAGCCACGGTGGCTCACATTGGCAGTTCCAGTGCTTTAGGAGGCCAAGGCGGGAGAATCACTTGAGGGTAGGAGTTTGAGGCCAGCCTGGGCAACATAGTAAGACCCCATCTCTACAAAAAATTAAAAAATTACCCAGTGTGGTGGTCAGTGCCTATAGTCCCAGCTACTTGGGAGACTGAGGCAGGAAGATTGCTAGAACCCTGGAGTTCAAGTCTGCAGTGAGCTATGATACCACTACACTCCAGCCTGGAGACAGAGTGACACTCTGTTTCAAAAAAATAAAAACAAACACATATGGATGCAAGAGGTTGATATCTGTCTGAGAATGTGGTTAGAATGAGCTGACTGGCTCAAGATCTGGCCTGGGCTGGGGTAACAGGTAGTTAAAGACTGGTGTGGCCTGAGATGAGGGTTAGTCTGGCAGCAGGGTTTTTAAGGTCAGGCAGGTTTAGGGTGGAGGTTGTGCCTGGGTTCAGGCTGGGTTTGCCCTAAGACAAAGAGAAGCTTTCCTCAGCTCCAACACTGCTGGATAGATAGGGTTGGAGTTCAGGACTGGAGTTGGGTTTCTTTGTAGATCATCCTCAGGGCAGGCTAGGACCAGGCTCTTTGTGGAGCCAGGGGCAAAGTTAGGTAGATTTGCTCAGGTCCTTCAAAGCAGATGCCAAAACAGAATTAAACGTACAAGAAATGTGCAGTCCCAAGTTACAAACATCAAGTGATGTATGACTCACGCTTATGAACAGGGGCTACTACAGATAATAGGTAAATGTACCTGTTTCAACTTACATATAAATTCAACTTAAGAACAAACCTGTAGAACCTATCTTATTCCTAACCTGCAGATTGCCTGTATGAGGAAATCCTGTAGAGGCCAGGAGGCTGCCAAATACCCAGTAAAGGAAAGAGGGAGGGAGCAAAGGAGATTGTGGGCATCCCCGCCAGGGTACCCATAGAAAGTGTGGCCTCGCACAAGCCTGGGGATGGCTTTTGGGATGCAGCCAGCATGGATCCCCTCACTGGCAGCCCAGCCTCCCGCTCACCTGGCTTCCTCACCTGAGAGCCAGACCCTGGAACAAGCCTGTGAGACCCACCATGTCCACAAGGTGCAGGTGCTCTGCATCCCACAGGATGGTGGACTAACTCAGACACCAAGAAGGTAACACCCCATAGCCATGCACCTGTGCCCCATCCTACAGCAGGCATTGGGAGCACAGGCTTTGTACGATGCATCTGCCTATTTTAAGAATGTGTCTACCCACCCAACTGCTGGCAGCCACACTGGACTCCCCGCCAGGGTGTGTGAAGTTTATGCCCAGTCCATGCAGCCTCTGGGAGTGGGACCCTCCACAGGGATGCCACAGCTGCAGCCCCCAGGTCCACCAGATCCACCACAGAAGGTGGGCCCAGAAGGAAGTCTTCTGACTGGGGGCTGGGATCCGAGGGTGAGTGAGTGGCTGTACCCTGACACATGCACTCCCCTCTCACAGGCAGCCTCTGGCCACATAGCCAGGTCAGTCTCACTTTTGACACCCAAATGCTGTGATGGGCTGTGTCATCAGAGAGCTCAGAAAGCACTGGACTGTCCAAATGGGGCTTGGATGTGGCTGGCCAAAACCTGTATTACGGCTTGGCCTTGAAGGTCTCAGGGCCCCAAGGGCACTCCCTCATGTGCCCATTTTAGTGCCTTCCAGGACCTGGCATGCCCATCCCATGTGTCCTTGGTTTTCTTTTTTTTTTTTTTTTTGAGACAGAGCCTCAAGCTGTCACCCTGGGTTGAGTGCCATGGCATCACAGCTCACAGCAACCTCCAACTCCTGGGTTTAGCGAGTCTCTTGCCTCCACCTCCCAAGTAGCTGGGATTACAGGCATCCACCACAACACCTAGCTATTTTTGGGTGGCAGCCGTCATTGTTGTTTGGCGGGCCTGGGCTGGATTCAAACCTGCCAGCTCAGGTGTACGTGGCTGGCTTGAGCCACAGGCACCAAGCCTTGTCCTTGGTTTTCAAAGGAGGACCATGAGACTGAAAGGCATTGAGCTGTTCATTCCACTGCGTATGGGTGGCCAGATTCAAGGTATCTGTAACTTGGATCTGAGATATTCTGGGTTCGCTGTCTTCTGTTTCAATACTGATTTCATTATTGGACCTGAATCTCAAGTATTCCTGGAGGCTTAATGTCACAGCCATAGCCAAAGCCACTGTCCCTTCTCTTTAGCAAGTCCTGCAAGGTATGGGTTGATGGTGTACCCTGGTGGGGTGGAGGCTGGGCGATGCCAGTGGGTAGACTGCAGTCCCCGCCAATGCGGGTTATCCAAGCTCTCTGGCTCTGTCAGCTGCTGCATGTTTCTCCTGGGTCCCTGCAAGCTGTGAAGTCGATGGCTCTGAAAGTGCTGGACTCCCAGGGGCATAGCATGGGCCAGCAGGCTTCTTGTACCAGTTACACTCTTACCTCTGAACAAAGGCTGGTGTCTTTAGTCCAGGTCACCAATTCTCCAAGACCCTGCCCTGTGGACTTTTAGTGGTATGTCCTGTGTCCTCTCAGTGCCTCATATCCAGACCTATCCTGATGGATTCTGCCTTGCCTCATTCACTCTACCCATCACTGGGGGCCGGGGGGGGGGGTTGGGCTGTGGGCAGGGCCATGTGCTGGTCACTCCAAGCAGACAAGTACAGGCACTGGTCAGGTTTCCCTGAGCCCCACAGCACAGGAGCTAGACTACAGGGATACTCCTACCTTGGGCCTCAGACCCCTCCAGAGGCTGCACAGGTGTGGTCCCCACCCCACCCCCACCACCCAGATCCAGGACCCTGAGAGACCCAGCACCTCGTCTTTCCTCCACATGTCACATTTATTGAGTTTCCCCAACTCCCAGTGCCATGGTCAGCAAGCCACATGGTTGAGCAGGGATCCTGGGTTTTTGGCTGGGTGGGCCCAGACTGCCTGGACAGCTGCTTTGGCATGCAGGGTACACTCTAGCAGGACTCCTGGCTCAACCTTGATAGCAGCACAAGGGAAGCGTAAAGTGCACAGGTGGGGCCCTGGGCCTGCGGCTCCCAGCACACATGGGGGCCATCTACCTGCAGCACCAGGCCACATTCCTCCAGTAGGACCCAGGCAGGTGCCCCCTTGTGCCAGTTGCTCCCCAGTAGTCTTGGTGGCAGGGACATAGTGCTGTACTCATGCCACAGGGCCCGCTCCAAGAGGCTGCCCACCTGCCAAGCCAGGGTGCGGCTGGTCAGGTGGGGTCCCAGTCATCCTACACAGGCCCGACCACCCCCTCCCCAGGCCCAGCCTGGCCCCTAGCCCCACATCTTCTCACCAGCTCACAATGCCTGGGCAGGGCCTCTGTATCCAGCGCCTTGGCCAGCAGCATGCACTGGGTTTCACTCAGCACTGAGGAGAGACCTTGGGTGAGAGGGGCTCCAGAAAGCACAGCTAGGGACACCTGTCCCCCTTCCTCCTACCCCAGCACAGGGGCTGCTCACCAGATAGGGCCCCCAGCAGATAGAAGATGGGGATGGCAAGCTCCTCCACCAACGCCCCAGAAGGGAACACCAAGCACTCGAGGACAGCACTCTCTGGGCCAGCCAGGGGCTTTGGCTGCCCACAGCACAAGCCCTGCTCCAGCTGTGGATATAGGAGGGGCAGATGAACCTGAGCTGGCCGGGCAGGCCCTGTCCACCCCCAGATCTCCCCCACTTACTGACTCCTCTAATGCTTGCAGGGCTGGCTTGTTCTGCAGCACCCCTGCCAGGCCCCCCAATAGCTGACGACTCAGTTCCCTCTCCATGTGCTCCAGCTCCACGGACCTGGCTGCCACCTCGGCCTTTAGGCCCTGAAAGTTGTCAGTGACCTCCCACTCCTCAGAGGGTCCATCTGCTGGGACAGAGGGCTGGTGTTACCTGGGTCCCACAGGGCCCTGGACAGCCTTGGGCAGCATGGGCAGACCCCAGGGGGCAGAAGGAGAGCCTCCCTAGGGTCCCAGAGGTGGTCAAAAGGGCACTGACCTGTCAGGAACTTTCGGTGGCCACAGATGGACCCTTTCAAGAGGAGGCCAAAGATGTCCTGCCCCCCGCTGTCTGCACTCCCAGAAGGCTTTGGGCCTGAGGGAGCAGGTGGATGGGGGAGGGAAGGCAAGGCTGATCAATGCAGGATGGATACAGAGCAGAAAGGGCTGAAGCCTTCCCTAGGCCCTCCTAGCCTTGGTCCCCATCCCTAGCACTGGCTGTCCAAGGAAGGGAGGGAGCCCAGGGAGCCCAGGGTCAGCCCGTCCCTGTGCCACCCCTGGTGGGTACGTGGAAGTGTCCCTGCCTCAGGAGGCTGCCTGGCCACCTGTGCCCAGAGCACAGAGGGAGGAGGTCTTCCCTGCCTCACCTGTAGTGGGGGGCTGGAAGGTCCTCCGCTTCTTATCTGGGAAGAGGTGGATGTCTGGGAGGCAGGTGGGAATGGACAGGGAGAGGCCAGTCCCCTGGGGTCTTGGCCTATTCCTCACCACTGGGAATACCCCTGCCCAGTCCAGGCCCTGCCCATTCACCCCCATGCCAGAGCACAGGATCCTCAGCCACCCTGAGTGACCCAGGAAGTGTAGCCAGCTGCTGGCCCTCCCCAGGCCTCCCTGCCACAGAGCTGCACCCAAGAGGCACCCGGCCCCAGCTCACCCCAGTCGGAGCCAATAACCAACTGGGCCACTCGGAAGGCAAGGATGGTGCCTGAAGGAATGGTGACTGTCTTCTTACGGCTCAGGTGGCCTTGACCCTCACCCTGAGGGATGGAGATGGGCTCAGGGATGTGCACTGGGCACGCACTTATGGATGCAGGCTGGGTGCTGGTGGTAGGCCCTCCCTCAGTGGTGGGCTGCACAGGGTGGGCAACCACATCTCAGCCAAGGCCAAGGCCAAGAGCTGTGCCAAGGGGACCTGGCAGAGCCCAGCCCTGCTGCTGGGAAGCTGGTCTCATGTGCCCCAAGCCCTGGCCACAGACCTGCACGCACATGGCCATGGGTAGCGCAAACTGTCCTGAGCCCTCTTGCTTGTGGGTCCGTGTGACTTCCACCTCCTTTTGTGTCTGCAGCACCTCTGTCACCACATATACATCGTCCCCTCGACTCCGCAGCTGCTGTAGGATTTTGTGTTCTGGCTGCCGCAGGCGCCTGTGGCCCGAGGGGCAGGAAGATCATTGGGGTACATGTCTTAGAAGGACAAGGAAGATGTCCCTTCCCTGATGGCTACTCTGCCCTTGGGTGGGCTGAGGCAGAGGGGCCCCCAGAAGTCTGTGGATGCCCAGGCATGGGCACCTCCTCTCCCAACAGTGTGGGGGAAGGGAGTGCAGGGGGAAGGCCCAGTGGGGAAAAATGGACTCATGTGAACCCCTGGAAGCACCCTCCACTGTGAGCTAGTAGTCCCCTTCCCTATGTCTAGTCCACTCTCTCTCCACAGAGCCAACTGAGGCCCCAAATGGCTTTTCTAGCATCTTTCCCCAATAGCACACTACCAGCTATATCACTCCTCTGTCTTTGGGCCTGCTCTTGGTGCCAGCACAGACATTGCCTTAAGGTTATTATTATTTTTTTTTTTTGAGACAGTCTCTCACTGTGTCGCCCTCAATAGAGTGTCGTAGTGTCACAGCTCACAGCAACCTCCAATTCCTGGGCTCAAGCGAGTCTCCTGCCTCAGCTTCCCAAGTAGCTGGGACCACAGGCGCCCTCCATGATGCCTGGCTATTTTTTGGTTGCAGCCATCATTGTTGTTTGGCGGGCCCGGGCTGGATTCGAACCCACCACCTTGGGTGTACATGGCTGGTGCCTTAGCTACTTGAGCTACAGGCGCAGAGCCATGCCTGGCTATTTTTTTTGTTGTTGTTGTCATTGTTGTTTAGCAGGCTAGGCCCAGTTGAACCCAATGGCCCCAGTATTTGTGGCCAGCACTCTAACCACTGAGCTATGGACGCCAAGCTGCCTTGAGGGCTGTCCTGGTGCCCCAAGGTCATGATCTGGCCCTCCTCAAGAGCAAGGCTGCCTGAGGTCAGCAGGAATCCTATGCCTCTGGGGCCCACCTTTCTTGGTGCATGGTCTCCCAGGTGTTGGGGTCCACACGCAGGGTGCACACGTCCATCGAGGCGCTGGAGCTGCCAGATACTGCTGCCCCCCCTGAGATCTTCCCCTGTCCTGGGGTTGCCAGTTCCACCTTGCCCTGCAGCTTCCCATCCATGGCATCGTAGAAGAGGAAGGGGCCGCTGCACTCTAAACCTGGGGCAAGACCAGACCTGAGGTGCTGTCCCACCAGGCACTGCCCTATCCCTCCCCTAGGGGAGTGGGACCTTTGAAAAGGCCCTGTCTCTCGAAGCAGAGGCCCAGAGGCCCAGAGATGAGAGCAGGCCGGGCAGTGACAACCGATTCCTCCCCCAGTCCCTGCCAGGCTCAGTCTCAGCATCAGGTTGGGTACCTGGTTCTGGGGCATCAGGCTCTAGGATGTTCTTGATTGACAGGTTGACACACTTGTAACGGGGTCTCCAGAACCAGGAGCTTGAGGGCTTCCTGCTCACCAGGCCATAGGGCCGGAAGCCAGTAGAGCTCTGAAGGCTGTCCACAGGGATGAGCTCCCCGCTGCGGTCTAGCTCCCGGACCACGCTCCGGACCATCCCCTCAAAGGCTGATACCATGCTCCTGAGGAGGGCAGCCAGGTCAGCCTTTGTTCTTTCAGGGTTGGACAAGCCAGAGCTCTCTCCAGAGTAGCTCTGCCCAGCCAGTTCCAGGACTCTGGTGAACAGAGAGCTCCTGCCTCCACACTCCTCAGCAGAAAAAAATCAATGTGTCCATCTCTCCAAGGGCCCTGAGCACCTTTAGACTGGGACATCACTCACCACCCTCAGCAGGACACAGGCCACTCCATCTGTGTTGTGGCCACTGGGAACAGGTCCTGGAACAGTCAGAGCTGGGACTTGGGGATGCCATACTTTGGCCACCCCTTGAGACTTTGTCAGCCCGAAGAGGCTTAGGGCCACCCACCCATCAAGGAAATGTGGGCAAGGCCTGTGCGCTGGGGCTTCCTGGATCCATGTGCCAGCCACAGGAGTTCAGAGGGCTGGGGGGTGGTGTGGTAACAGAAGTCCCCACTTTCCGGGTATAGTACAGGAACCCCCAGCAAGACCCAGCCCGAGCGTCCCCAGATCCCAGATCCCAGCCTTGTCCTCTAAGGCCTTCTCTGAGGAACTCCATGGGCTATCTGTCTAAGGCTGAGGCTTCAGAGTTCAGAGGTCAAAGCAGGCCTAGGCAGCTATGGGGAGCCAGCCACTCCCAGAGGAAGCCCGGAAGCCCTTGAGCCTCTGAGCCTTGAGAAATACCGGGGTAGGCCCAGGCACCTGGGGGCCCACCTTGGAGTTAAGCCCAAACCCACCACCAGGCCCCTGGGCGGGTCAAGGGCAACCCTCCCAGAGGCCTGAAGCTTCCCCACACCAGTCTGGGAGTGTGAGCCTTCCTGGGAGAGTGCTGGGGCCAATCGGTGGCCCCAGAGGTCCAGCATCCCCTCCCAGTACTCAGCTGCCCTACCCCAGGCACTGGGGCTCCACAACTCACTGTGACTCTTCCGACGAGGAGTCCGGGCCCACAAAACAAAGTGAGGACGCCTGGAGAACTGGGGTCGCCCGACTGCACTTCCTGGGATCCGCCTAGCCAGTGAGCGGCCCAAAAGTGAAACTGACTATAGAGGCGGAGCCCCCGCACCGCCCCCACGGCAGCACGGGCCCCCCCACTTCCTGGCTCTTTCCTAAACATCTGGAGCTGATCCCAGGGAGCCTAGTAGAGGATTCTCCAAAGATTGCCAACAAGCATATGAAAAAATGTTCATGTCATTAGTCATGGGGAAATGCAAATCAGAACCACAGGAGCTGCTTCACACAAGAAGTGGTGGGGAGGACACCAGGACTGGAACCCTCCTGTGCTGTTGGCAAAAATGTAACATGGTGTGGATACCTAAGTCATTATATCTAAAGGCAAAAAATTAAAACAAAAAGTTAAAAAGAAATAAAATGCTGCAGCCCCTGTGGAATAAGTCTAGCATGTGCTCAAACAGTAAAATGTAAAGATTATCTGTAATCCAGCAAGTGCACTCCCAAATGTATATCTGAAAGGAGTGAAAGCAGGGGCTCTAACAGACACTTGTGCACCAGTGTGCACTATAGCATTAGTCATAGTAGCCACGAAGTGCAAATGACCCAAAGATTCACTGAACAATGCATGGATAAACAAAATGTGCATTCATGAGATGGAATGGACGTTGTGGGTTTTTTGTTTGTTTTTGTTTTAAGACAGAGTCTTATTCTGTCCCCAGCTAGAGTGCAGTGGCACCATCATAGCTCACTGCAGCCTCAAACTCCTGAGCTCAAGTGATCTTTCTGCCTCAGTCTCCTGAGTAGCTGGGGCTACAATTGCACACCAAAATGCCTGCATAACTTTTGATTTTGTAGAGAAGAGGTCTCACTCTTCCTCAGGCTGGTCTTGAACTCCTGAGCTCAAGCGATCTTCCCACCTTGGCCTCCCCAAGTGCTGCGATTATAAGCATGAGCCAAAGCATCCAGCCTATATATACATATTAAAGAGAGGCAGTCTAACTCTGTCCCTAGGCTGGAGTACAATGGTACAATCATAGCTCACTGCAGCCTTGACCTCTGGGGCTCAAGTGATCCTCCTGCTTCAGCCTCCTTAGTATCTAAGACCATAGGCACATACAACCACACCCAGATAATTTTTAAATTTATTTTTGAGACAGAGTCTCACTTTGTCACCCTCAGTAGAGTACTATGATTGTCAAAGCTCACAGCAATCTCAAACTCTTGGGCTTAAGCGATTCTCTTGCCTCAGCCTCCCAAGTGGCTGGGACTACAGGTGCCCACCACAATGCCTGGCTACTTTTGTTGTTGTTGTCATTGTTGTTTAGCAGGCCCAGGCTGGGTTTGAACCCACCAGCCCTGGTGCATGTGGTTGGCGTCCTAACAACTAAGCTACAGGCACTGAGCCTAATTTTTAATTTTTAAATTATTTTTCAAACACAAAGGGTCTTGCTATGTTGCCCAGGCTGGCCTCAAGCCATCCTCCCATCTCTAGCCTCCAGAGCAGTTGGGACAGCAAGCTTGAGCCATCATACCTAGTGTGAATTATATCTCAATAAAGCTGTACTTAAAAAAATTCTTGAGCCTGGCACCAACACCATAGGCCCTACAGTGCCCTACTGTCCTGGGTCACAATGGGCTTGTGTCAGAGGCCTCGGGCCTGCTCCTATAGGCAGTCCCCGTGCCCAGAGGATGGGTCCGGTCCTAGCAGAGATGGGGTGCATTCAGGACCCCCTGGTGCTGTCTCCTGGCTCTTCCAGGTAGTTTTGCAGACCAGGTGAGTCTAAGGTTTCACCTCAGGAATGCTGCTGGGCAGAGCTGGCTTCTCTCCCCGGCCCCAGCAGACAGGGAACTCACTCACGCTGCCCCTAGGACCTGGGGTCCTGGGGTGTTGCAGCCTCCTGCTGCTGGGTGTTGGGGTAGCACCTGGAGAGGCTCTCTTGGCATAGTCTCCATGGTGAGGACTGGATAAGCTAAGCATATGGTGCTCCTGAGAGGCCTGCCATGTCCTAGCAGCCCCTTCCAAGGGTCAATATCCCAGCTGGAAGGGGCCACTAGGACATGGAACCCAACACTGAGCCAGGCTGGAGGAGCCTAGGCCAGGAGTGCAACGGCAGCCCAGGGCTCCGGCAGTCTCCCCATTCACCACCATATCATGTCCCAGGGCCTTTACTTCAAAGATATTCTGGGGCCCACACTAGCACTCCCACACTTGGCTGTTCTGACCTGAGACTCACCTTGGAGGTTCTGGCACACTCATTGGTTCATTCTGCGAATGTGTGTTAGCACCTGGTGTTAGGTGATCTCCAAGATATGGTTCCCTCAGTGAACATGACCAAATCTCCGCCCTGATAGCTTTGAGATTAGAAAATGCTGGAATTCAGATCACCACAGAGAGGAAATGGTAATCTTGTGAAGCAGAAACCCAGAAATGCTGTGTGCACCAGCCTGGCCTGGTCAGCCAGAGAGCTCTACAGGCAGAGGGCCTCTGGGCAGTGGGCACCAACTTAGCCCAGTGGGTTCCTAGTGCCAGTCTAACCCTATAACTCCTCTCTGGGTGTGAGCCAGGTGTACTTGCTTGTAGTAGCAGGAGGCTCCAGCAGCCTGAGTGGGGCTGAGCGAATGTCTGTGCATGCTGTGTGTGAAGTGTGCTTGTGTCAATGTGGATATTGCATTCAACCATGTGTGTGCACCTGTGTTCCTTGGTGCTTGTACATGTAGGTGGAAGTATATTTGTGTTTGCATTGTCTGAACTTGTACACATGTAGGTAGTGTTCATTTGTGCACACGTATTGGTATGTGTGTTCATGTGCACATGTTGGGGGAGGTGCCAGGCCAGCGGCTGCCTACTATAGGATGTGGACCCTGTCTGGGCATCCTCCCTGCCTCCGGCTCAGCCTGCTCCTCCTTTCCTCTGCAGCAGAATCCTCCAGAGCCCTGCCCCACCTGCAGTGGCTCATCACCCTCTCTTGTCAGGCCAGCTCCAGATCCTGGGCAGGAGGGGCAGCACGGTGACTGTGGCAGCTGAAAAGGGTGTGGCATATTATGTCACCTAACATGACCACAGCTTCCGGCTGGGTGCTGATGAGGCTGGGGTACTGCTGGAGCAATTTCTTGCTCAAATTTTCAGTTCTTTAGTAAATCTCTAAACAGGAAGCACTGAGTTTGGTGGGCTCCTGGCTCCAGAGGGAAAACAGAAGTCAGCTGAGCAGGCAGGAGGAAGCAGCTGGGGAGGAAAGGTGGGCAGAGGGAGGGGTCTTCCTGCATCCCAGCTCCTCTCTGGCCCTAGTCGCACCTGGGGGGCTGGGAAGTCTTGAGGACCAGAACTCTGGGGCTATGGGATGGACATTCATACAACCCATGGCTTTCTTGTTTTTTCTTTTTTGTTGAGACGGAGTCTCAAGCTGTTGCCCTGGGTAGAGTGCTGTGACTCATAGCTCACAGCAACCTCTAACTCTTGGGCTCAAGTGATCCTCTTGCCTCAGTTTTTCTATTTTTAGTAGAGACCGGGGGGGGGGGAGTCTTACTTTTGCTCAGGCTGGTCTCGAACTTGTGAGCTCAAGCAATCCACCTGCCTTGGCCTCCCAAAGTGCTAGGATTACAGGTGTGAGCCACCGCACCCAGCCAGCCTTCTGCCTTGTTTACAGAGGTGGGGGAGGCTGCCCTGGCAGGTCCAGGGGCAGCCTGGGACACCATGTCCCTTTCTACCATGCTAAAGAAGGATCAGTAAAGCTAGTGGGTGAGCGGGCACTGGGCTCCAAGGAAGAGGAACCTCACTATGAAGCTCTGGCAGGGCAAGCACAAGGCAGTGACTGGTGGCTTCTGTTTGAGGGTTGCCCACTGTGGGGAGCAACAGAAGAGGTTGTTAGGACCCATAGATGAGTGCTGGGATAGAGGCACTGGGAAGAGCCAGGTAGACCAGGAAGGGCCCTGTGGGAGAGGACAGCAGAGAGCTGGGTTGGGTGGGAGCAGGAAGGGGTGGCATAGGAAGCCCTCGCCAGAGCTAATGGAGAATCCTTTGGGCAGGTGCTGCTCTGGGAGTCTTAGGCCAGGCTGGGTGGGACTGTGGAGCAGGGAACAGGGCTGAACTGCCCCCAAATCCTGTCCTGGCCTGCTAGTGACTCCAGAGGATGGCCCTGAGCTCCACTGTCCTCTTCCCTCCCTTCCTGAGCCATTTGTTTGCTCCTTGGGTACAGCCAGGGTGGGGACTTGGGTGTCCTTGGGGCCCTGCCTGGGAGTGGGGTGTCACAGTGAGAGGCACTCCAGGAATCAGAAGAAGGGGGTGGGCCCAGCTGCACTGAGCGGGGCTGCAAGGAAATTCCCCCAGTGGCTCCCAGTCACCTGAAGGCTCACAGTCCCCTCTGGGGTAGGTGTAGGTGGTTAGGGCTCTGTATTACCCAGGCCTCATCTCTAGGCACACCTTCTCAGCATACCCCTCCAGTCCTGTCTCCTTTTGGGGTCCTTGCCCTGAGACCTGCTACTTCCTGCCCTTGGTCAGCTGGGGAGATTGAGGGAAGGGGACATGGACTTTGGGCAGCCTGAGTGGATGGTCATCTGGGTCTCTTTTCACTTTGCTGGAAGAAGCTGTTACTGCCAGAATCCAGGCACTGCTTTGAGGTATGCTTTCCATGTAGGTGGGGACCCCTGAGGTTTGCCTACTACACAGGTGGAAGACTGGCACCCCGAGTCACACCATTCTCCTCTGTGATCCCTGAGAGCTTGGTGAAAATGTCTGACTTAGGGAAGAGGAGAATAACACAAGGACCTGGCCCAGTAGATCTGAGGGGCTCTGCAGTGGGGGTCAAGTGGGGTGGCATGCTGGAGTAGAGGGGATCCTCTTAGCCCTCTGGGGCAGTTTTCTCCCATAGTCATTTTCTGCTGCCTGCTTCCTGCTGGAGGTCAGAGGGGCACCCGTGGTGTCCTGGACTTGGCCTGCCAACTACCTATCCTCACCAGAGGGCTGCTCCCTGCATGCAGACCTCCCACCTGGCAAACAAGGTGGTTGGAGGGGTCAAGACAGAAGTACATTCAGTGTGGTTATCCCCTTTAGTTACACCCCACCTGCTTTGCAAAGGCTGTGTCTAGGGTGGTCTTCTGAGGTCAGCCTGGAGAGAAGTAGGTTGCTTTGAGGCCCAGGGACCGCCTGGGATGTGGCTGGAGGGACAGCTTGTAGCTCAGCAAGAGGGCAGGCTGTTTGGGTTACAGGGCAGAGAAGGTCCCTACAAAAAAAGACCTGGAAGCTGGATGTGGAGGTAGGTGGGGGACAGCAGGAGTGTTTAGGCAAGGGGTCAGAGAAAACTCCCATGGGAAGGGAGGGAACTGTCTACCTCAAGAGACAGCAGGGATGGCTGGCCTTCAGGGTTCGTTGTTTTGTTCTATTTTTTGAGACAGAGTCTCATTCTGTCACCCTAGGTAAGAGTGCAGTGGTGTCATAGCGCACAACAGCCTCAAACTCTTGGACTCAAGCAATTCTCTTGCCTTAGCCTTGGGAGAAACTGGGACAGGCGCCCACCACAAGGTCCGGCTACTTTTTCTATTTTTAGTGGAGACGGGATCTCCCTCTTGTTCAGGCTGATCTGAACTCCTGAGCTCAGGCAATCCTCAGCCTGAGCCTCCCAGAGTGCTAGGATTACTGGAGTGAGCTACCATGGCCAGCCCTCAAGGTTCATTGTTTGCTGAAAGCCTATGACAGAAATCCTTCCTGCCTTAGACCTGTATGTAGACAGCACTGTGTGAAGACGAACCAAGGGAAGACAGAACAACCAGAGGGAGACTGGGCAGCCAGCAAGCCCAGACCACTGGGGGGGAGATAGCCATGACATAGTTGGCCCATGGCCCGGGATATGCAGCAAACTGCCCTGTAGAAAGGCTACACCAGCATCCAAGGCAAGTAAGATTCTGCTCCCCTTTGCTAACTCTGAAGGCAGATTTCATCTTTGCCTATTTGATAGGCATCAGTTTTGCTTTTTTTTGAGACAGAGTCTCACTTTGCCACCCTGGGCAGAGTGCCATGGCACCATGGCTCACAGCAACCTCAAACTCCTGGGCTCAAGTGATCCTCTTGCCTCAGCCTCCCACGTAACTAGGACTAGAGTAGCTCGCCACAACATGTTGCTATTTTTTTTTTTTTTAGAGACAGAGTCTCACTTTATTGCCCTTGGTAGAGTGCTGTGGTGTCACAGCTCACAGCAACCTCCAACTCCTGGGCCTAGGTGATTTTCCTGCCTCAGCCTCCCGAGTAGCTGGGATTACAGGCGCCCACCACAATGCCCAGCTATCTTTTTGTTGCAGTTTGGCTGAGGCCAGGTTTGAACCTGCCATCCTTGGCATATGGGGCCGGCGTCCTACTCATTGAGCCACAGGCGCCGCCCAGCATCTGGCTATTTTTAGAGACTGGGTCTCACTCTTGCTCAGGTTGGTTTTGAACTCCTGAGCTCAAGTGATCCACCCACCTTGGTCTTCCAGAGTGCTCAGATTAGAAGTGTGAGCCACTGTTACCTGGCCTAGGTATCAGTATTAAGTGCAACACCAACATCAGTTTTAGCAAGTTAATGCTGAGTGTTCACATCGCATTTACGGTTTCATAACTGTGGAGACAAACCCACAAACCCTGCCCCCACTCAGCAAGTGGTCAGGCCTCTCCCACTACCCCAGTACTGGAGTTCAGGGATAGAGAATTCATCAGGCACAAAAGAGAATAGGATTTACTGCTAAACCTATGAATCCAGCACTTTTTGCTGTATAACAAATGACTCCAGAAAGTAGTGGCTTAAAGCAACATTCACTGATTTGTCCACAATTATGGGAGTGGATAATTAGGCTGGGATCAGCTAGGTATCCTCTGGGTTCACTGTCAGCTGGCAAGCAATGGTCTTACCTGTTTGGCAGATGACTGCTTGTCAGGAAGGTTAGTGGTATTAAACAGGTGTCTTAGTCAGCCTGGGTTGCTATAATTGCATAGAATGACTAGCTTAGACAACAAATATTTCTCAGTTTGGGGGTTGAAAGCCCCAGATCAAAGTGCCAGGCTGGTTGGTTTTTTGGTGAGGGTCCACTTCCTGGTTTACAGCCATTTTCTTGCTGTGCCTTCACAAGGTGGAGACAAAGTTCACTCATCCTCTTCTTATAGGGCACCGATCCCATTCACAAGGGCTCCACCTTCATGACCTAACAGCTTCTCGAAGATCCCATCTCCTCCTACTATCACTTTGGAGGTCAGGATCTCAACATATGCATTTAAAACGGAATAATTCATTTAGTCTGCAGTGCTGGGAATGTGCCATTTGTCCTCCAGCAAGCCAGCCCTGGCTTGTACACAAGGTGTAATCTGGCTGCAAGAGTCTCAAGGGAAGCAAGGCAGGGCTAGTCCAGTGTTTTAAGTACTTTTCAAGGTGGGTTAGGAAATATCATCCCATTTATTTTTGGTGATGTCCCCTCCCCTCCTCTCTCAGTTGGGCCAAGACCCAAGGATCTTACAGTGTTCAGAGATGGGACAGGGCCTATGGTCACCCCCAAGCCACCAGTAGTCCTGTCCCCTACCACTTCCTGGGGTACTCCTGGCTGCCTTGTGGAGAATTCCTGAAGGGAGAGAGGGAGAAACTCCAGCTAAATGTTCAGCTGGGATTGGGTGGGTATAGATAGGATGTGGTGGAATTTGGAATGGGGTCAGTTCAGGAGCAGGAGCTCTGGATAGAGCTCCCCTCTCCCCAAAGCCTTCTGGGCTGGGAGGAACTCCAACTGGAGCTCTGCCCTGTGACTTCCAGCCTCAGTCAGCTTGCTGCCTGGTCTTCCCAGCCTCCACTTGTCCTTCTCTTCTGGGAGCCAGCTCTCTCCACCTTAGAATGCTGCCTTCACTATCACCATCCAAGGAGAAACCCTCACAGTGCCTGTCGTTTATGTGAGGTGGAATAACACTAGCCCCCTAGTGTAGGGTTCATGTGTTGACCTCAGAGGCAGGCTGGGAAGCAAGGTGAGACGTGTCCTCTCCTGCATTAGCTTGTTTGGAACATGCACAGTGCATGTTAATCCTTTGCACCATTGCTGTCATACATTTTACTTCTACATATTATAAACCCTAACACTTTTTCTTTCCTAAGACAGGATCTTGCTCCGTTGCCTGGGGTAGGGTGCAGTGATGTTACTATAGCTCACTACAACCTCAAACTCCTGGGCCCAAGTGAACTTTCTGCCTCAGCCTCCCAAGCAGCTGTCACTACAGAAGCAAGCCACCATGCCTGACTAATTTTTCCAATTTTTTTGTAGAGACAGCATCTTGCTCTTGCTAAGGCTGGCCTTGAACTCCTGACCTCAAGTAATCCTCACACTTTGGCCTCCCAGAATGCTAGGATTGCAGGCATGAGCTACCAGTGCCTGGCCCCCAATACCTTTTTATTATTTTTGTTGCAGCTATTTTCACTGTGTTTTAAAGAAAATCAGAATAAAAAAAATTTATACTTACTAATATATTTTCCATTTCCTCTGGTTTTTTTCCCCTGTAGATCTGAGTTTTCATATTGTATCATCTTTAGCCTTTAGAATTTCCTTTAACATTCCTTATGCAAGAGATCGATCTAAGATGGCGACTGTGGAACCGGAAACCACCCCTACTCCTAATCCCCCACCGACAGAAGAGGAGAAAACAGAATCTAATCAGGAGGTTGCTAACCCAGAACACTATATTAAACATCCTCTACAGAACAGATGGGCGCTCTGGTTTTTTAAAAATGATAAAAGCAAAACTTGGCAAGCAAACCTTCGGCTGATCTCTAAGTTTGATACTGTTGAAGACTTTTGGGCTCTGTACAACCATATCCAATTGTCTAGGAATTTAATGCCTGGCTGTGACTACTCACTTTTTAAGGATGGTATTGAGCCTATGTGGGAAGATGAGAAAAACAAACGGGGAGGACGATGGCTAATTACATTGAACAAACAGCAGAGACGAAGTGACCTCGATCGCTTTTGGCTAGAGACACTGCTGTGCCTTATTGGAGAATCTTTTGATGACTACAGTGATGATATATGTGGAGCTATTGTTAATGTTAGAGCTAAAGGTGATAAGATAGCAATATGGACTACTGAATGTGAAAACAGAGAAGCTGTTACACATATAGGGAGGGTATATAAGGAAAGGTTAGGACTTCCTCCAAAGATAGTGATTGGTTATCAGTCCCATGCAGACACAGCTACTAAGAGCGGCTCCACCACTAAAAATAGGTTTGTTGTTTAAGAAGACACCTTCTGAGTATTCTCATAGGAGACTGCGTCAAGCAATCGAGATTTGGGAGCTGAACCAAAGCCTCTTCAAAAGCAGAGTGGACTGCATTTAAATTTGATTTCCATCTAAATGTTGCTAAGATATAAGAGAAGTCTCATTCGCCTTTGTCTTGTACTTCTGTGTTCATATTTTTTTTTTTTTAATTTTGGCTAGAGTGTCCACTATCCCAATCAAAGAATTATAGTACACATTGTCCCCAGAATCCATAAATGTGTTCCTGGCCCACTCTGTAATAGTTTAGTAGAATTACCATTACAAACACATTTTACCCATTCACAATATTCAAAAGACAATTCGGATTTCTATACTTTACAGGAAAAAAGTTCTGTTTATGTTCCATTGTATGCAGGAGCATATTTTGCTGGTTTGAAAGAGTATGATGCATACAGTTTTCTAGCAATTTTCTTTGTTTCTTTTTACAGCAGTGTCTTTGCTGTACTTTTGCTGATGGCTGCTAGATTTTAATTTATTTGTTTCCCTTCTTGAGAACATTAGTGATTCTGATTTCAGTTTTTCATTTGTTTTGCTTTTGTTTTTTTCCTCATGTAACATTGGTGAAGGATCCAGGAATATGACACAAAGGTGGAATAAACATTAATTTTGTGCATTCTTTGGTAATTTTTTTGTTTTTTGTAACTACCAAGCTTTGCTACAAATTTATGCATTTCATTCAAATCAGTGATCTATGTTTGTGTGATTTCCTAAACATAATTGTGGATTATTAAAAAAATGTAACATCATAATTACATTCCTAACTAGAATTAGTATGTCTGTTTTTGTATCTTTATGCTGTATTTTAACACTTTGTATTACTTAGGTTATTTTGCTTTGGT